CAGCGGTTAGAGCATCGGCCTGCGGTCCTGAGAGACCCGGGTTCGGTTCCCGCTAAGGGCGCGTACCTCGGTTGCAGTTTGTCCCCGGCCCTGGTCGGTTGTGCGGGTGGCAGCCATTCGATGTGTTCCTTTCACATCGATGTTTCTCTCTCTCTCTCTGTTCCTCTCTCTCCCTCCCACTCTACCTGAACAAAAAATGGAAAAATGTCCTCGGGTGAGGATAAAAAAAAAAAAAAAAAAATGGGAGCAGAAACTAACAAGTGTTGATAAGGATATGGAAAATTCGGAACTGTCCAGCTTTGTTGGAAATGTAAAACTGTAGCTGCTGTGGAACAGTTTTATGTTCCTCAAAATGTTAAACATAGAATTTTATTAGCCAGTAATGCCTAGGTATATATCCAAAAGAACAGAGAGCAGGAACTCAAACAGATAGTTGTACAGCACTATTCACATTAGCCAAAAGGGAGTTAAGAACCCAATGAAAAGTAATGAAGTACTGATATATGTTATAACATGAATAAACCTTGAAAACATTATGCTAAGTGAAATAAGCCAGACACAAAAGAACAAATATTACATGACTGCACTTACATGTGATATCTAAAATAGGCAAATTAATAATTAATAATGATAGAGACTAGAATAGAGGTTACTAGGGGCTGGGAGAATAGAATGTTATTGCTTTATGGGTATAGATTTTCTGTTTTGGATGATGCAAAATTTCTGGAAATAAATACTGGTCATGGTCGTACAGCAATATGAATGTACTAAATGCCATTTAGTCATACACTTAAAAATAGTAAATTGCATGTATGCATATTTTACCACAAAATAACACTTTAAAATGTTCACTGCAATATTATTTGTAAACAAAAAAACAACTTACTGTTTGCACATCGAGAGAAATGGATAATTAAATCATGACGTGCACAATGTTGTGTGCATACTTGAAACAATAGTGAATGAAGAGATGCTGAAGCTCTACTAAGCGAAAGAAGTGGATGAGTATCTATTGTACATTCCCATTTATATAAAGAGTGAAAGAAAATTCCTAGATACCCCAGCTGGTGTGGTTCAGTGGTTGAGCATCGACCCATGCACCAAGAAGTCGCCGGTTAGATTCCGGGTCAGGGCACATGCCCAGGTTGTGGGCCCAATCCCAAGCGGGGGGCATGCAGGAGGTGGCCTATCAATGTTCTCTCTCATTGATGTTTTTCTTTCTCTCTCTTTCTCTCTCTCTCGCCCCCCCCTTCCTTTCTCTCTACAATCAATAAAAAAAAAATTTTTTTTTAAAAGAAAAGAAAATTCCTAGATGGACACAGAAAAACTGCTCGTCACCTCTAGTGAAAAGGACTGAAGAGAGATAAACCACAGAACTTATATGCATGTATGGATGACCAATGGACATGGACAACAAAGCTAGGGACAGGGCAGGGAGGGAGGAGAAGGAGGGTGTCAATGGGGGAAAAAGGAGAAACATCTGTAACAAAAATAAATAAATAAAAGGACTGAAGAGACTGCTCAGAGAGGGTGATTCAATTAATTATTTAATACTGTTTGACTTCTTAGCACATTTAAAATTATGAAATAGTAAAACATACAACAGAAATATAAGGAAATAAACATTTTCTATATGATATATATATCATCTACATGAAACCCAGATAAAATATTCCTAGTCACAAAAGCCACCTGAAATGGGATGAAACACTGTCTCTTAATGAAACTATGAACATATGCAGAAATAGGTGGACAAACATTATTCACTTCATTTCTTTGTACTCCAAGATCGTTGTTTTTGAATCACAGAACTTCCAAAGTGAAAAGCATGCACACTTCAAAGAAACAAAGGTCTAAACAAGCCTTAGAAGTAACTTGACACTCTCAAGATCAAAGAGCTTGAAGCTGAAAGCAGCATCAAGGGCTGCATTATAGGATTTCTAGCTCCTGCACCTGACTTTCTGGGTGCTAGGTTATTTGGTTTTAATGAATGAGATAAAAATTAATGTGAATATGTGACTCTCCTAGCAAGAATATTGCTATGTGATGACTAACCAAGAGAATCATAAATAAAAACCAAAAGGGCAAAGAAAGAAAAAATATATATAGTGAAATATGTATATACTTTACCACTACACCAGAAATCTCAGGAAAAGCAATTAGTTATAAGAAATGGGAGTTATTGCCCTGGCCAGTTTGGCTCAGCGGTTAGAGTGTCAGCCTGCAGTCCAGAGAGACCTGGGTTCGGTTCCTGCTAAGGGCACGTACCTTGGTTGCAGTTTGTCCCCGGCCCTGGTTGGTCATGCGGGTGGCAGCCACTCGATGTGTCCCTTTCACATCAATGTTTCTCTCTCTCTCTTTTCCTCTCTCTCCCTCCCACTCTATCTGAACAAAAAATGGAAAAATGTCCTCGGGTGAGGATTAAAAAAAAAAAGAAAGAAAAGAAATGGGAGTTATAAGGAACAGTCACAATAGTAATTATTTGTAGATGACATGATCTCTTAGGCAGATAATCCAAAGACCCAACAAATCCATTAGATATAATAAAGGAGTCAGGCAAGGTTGCTGCATATAACATTTTTTTAATCACTAAGATACAAAGGGGAGGGGGGGCAACAAAAATTACTTTAAGGAAGTAATTATAAAACACAATAGACCTGAATTAATAAGAAATATATCACGAAAAAAATTAGTGTTGAATAATGTACAATATAACTGTCAATCATCCCCAATGTAATCAATTTATTAAATGCATCTTGTTTATTCCAATACGATTTTTGTTTGGCTGCTTGTTAGTATTAAACAAACATTCTAAAATTCTTACAGGAAAGTAATGGTCTAAGAATAACCAAAACAATCCTAAAATATAATGAGGGAAAACTTGCAGAAGGAAGTAAGTATATATAAAATTACGGTAATTAAATCAAAGATGCTGGTTCAGTAGAGAGTGGCAGAATAGAAAACCTGAAACAGATATGGTAGATGCAAGTTAACACACAATTTAAAGGACAGACCAGACCACTCAATAAGTAACTGTTGAGACAACTACCTTTCCATACATGAAAAAAGAAAAAAAGAAATAAACCCGTGTCTTATACTATATATCAAATTAATTCCAGATGTTTCTACATCTTAAATCCAACCTATGAAACATTAAAGCTACTAGAAGACCTAGAAGAATATTTTTATAGCATCAAGCAGGGAAAGACAATAATAGGGAGAAGAGCACTATAGGCAGAGAAAATAAAATGACAACTGGCAGGCCCGGACAATGTGGCTCAGTGGACTGAGTGTCGTCCCATGGACTGAGAGGTCCCGGTTCAATTCCAGGTCAGGGCACATGCCAGGGTCAAGGGCTCGTCTCTAGTAGGGGGCGTGTAAGAGGCAACCGATGGATGTTTCTCTCTCTCCCTTCCTCTCTCTCTCAAAAAATCAACAAAAACATATTTAAAAAATTAAATGACAACTGGCAGATAGCTTCACCTGTAATATGGAAAGTAATACCACCTATCACACAGCAATAATGAGATTTAAATACGTCAAGTTCTTAGACCAGTGTCTGACATATAATTTCTGTAAGTTCCTCTCATGCCTCACTTTCCTTATCAGTAAAACAGAGAAAACACGGTTAATTGGAGCATTGTCCCATACACCAAAAAGGCTGCAGGTTCAATTCTCAGTCAGGGCACATACCTAGGTTGCAGGTTCAATCCCTAGGCGCCTATGGGAAAAACCTATCAATGTTTCTTTCTCAAGTTGATGTTTCCCTCCCTCTCTCTAAGGTCAATAAGCATATATCCTCAGATGAGGATTAAAAAAGAGAGAGAAAATACGAGTATCTACCTTACTAGGTTCTCATAAGAATTAAATTACTCTATACATATAATGGTGCTTAGAACAGAAACTGATACACAGTATGAGTTCAATAAGAATTCGTAATAGCCCTGGCTGGTTTGGCTCAGGGGTTAGAGCATCTCCCTGCGAACCAGCGAGGCCTGGGTTCGGTTCCCGCTTAGGGTACATACCTCGGTTGCAGTTTGTCCCCGGCTCTGGTTGGGGTCGTGTGGGTGGCAATCACTGGATGTGTCTCTCTCACGTCGATGTTTCCCTCTCTCTCTCTTCCTCCCTCAACTCTCCCTCAAGATGAATGCAAAATATGTCCTCAAGTGAGGATAAAAAAAAAAGACTTATTAATAATAATGTATTGCACTTACAAATAATAATTATACAGGGTGGGGTAAAAGGTTTAGAGTTGTGAGTGAGTGAAACATTTATTCTTGCATTATTATTTATTGTATTAGTTTCCATAAGAACTGTAAACCTATTTTTGCCCCACTGTGTATTACATAGGGGAAAAGAAGCATATCAAAGTAAGTGCGTGCTTAGGATTCTATTTAGATGGTAACTCTGGTAGTAATGTGGAGAATGAACTATAAGAGGGGAGAATAAATTGTAAGGGGGAAATGCTGAAGGCCTAACAGTTAAAAGGCTATTCTAGTTTTTTAAACCTAAACAATGGCAAAAATGACTGAAAAACGTTTTGAAGTCAGATTTCATAGAATCTGAGGATAGATCAGACATGTAAAGAAAGTGAGCAACTATCATCAATGACAAGTCCCAGGTTTCCCAAATTGCTGAAAGTTAATGTAATGATGCAATGAACTGAAATGAAGTTAAGAGTACTATAACTGTTTTCCACTTTGTTACTAAAAACTTAACTTGTACTCCTCATTTTGAGATCTGGGCTATCTTACATGTTGTTAATCAGCTTCTAACTAAACTTCATGTTGTTTGAAATTATGCTTTAGGAATGACTTGCTTGTACATAAGGTATTTTGATGCCCCATCAACTATTTTTCTGAAAAAGCACATCATTTGAGTCAGAAATTTCTTTAAAATCATTATGGGTTTTATAAATATTATTCATTGCTGTTTTTTAAGTTCTCAAACAGAAAAAACTTTCTTGTTAGATGCTGGTCTTACTTACAAATGTTTCTTACCATGATTGGCTTGCCCTGAAATGTTTTAACTTCTTCTCTCAAGTATTTAAAAGCCTGTTAACAAAGCAGAAAGGAACTTTCATTACCATTCAAACATTTCATTAAAGCCATCTTATTCTATCCCGAGAGAGTGGTTTTAGCAATTATCTATAAATTAAACAGTAAAAAGTTCTGAAGGTGATTCCATTATGCAGGTTATAGGAAATGAAAAAGTAAAAATTTAAGGCCTCAGCTACAGTTCAATTTATTGTGGATTAGCTACTATGATTTACTGCAGATAAAATGCACAAAATTGAAAACAGACTACATATTTTTTAAATGGTTCAACCAGAGAGCCTTCCAAGGTAAAAAATTAAAAACAAACAAACAACAAAAAACAGTAAGTGGCTTTAAAATGCTGTTAGATATGTTTCTGTTTCAAAGAAATATCACTTATCTTCAAGTAGGACATAACAATTAAGAGTAAAATCATGATCAAAATTCCAAGAATCAAGGAGGAAGTTATGTATTTACTGCGGGCCTACTATGTAGTAGAAATACTAACTACTGAATACACGGTTCCCAATCCTCATGTTAATTTTATTTATTAAAAAAAAATTTTTTTTTCTTTATTGATTTTAGAGAAAGAAGGGAGAGAACATCGACTGGCCACCTCCTGCGTGCCCCGCACTGGGGACTGTCCCCACAACCTGGGCATGTGCCCTGATCGGGAATGGAACCAGTGACCTCTTGGTGCATGGGTCCATGCTCAACCACTGAGCCACACTGGCCAGCTTCCATGTTAATTTTAAAACTGTATGCTAATTTTTTTATTTACAGAAATAAACTGTTCTCAAATTGAAACTGAAAAAGCTTTTGGAAGATAACCAAAAGGGAAACCAATAAATAAACAAAACCAAAAAGGTGAACAAGGTGCTAAACAGTCTTCACAGACAGTACTGTAAGCACACATTTCTCAATTAAAATATACCACCACTTCTTTTACCACTAGGACTGAAATTAGAAGAAAAGTTTTCTTCTCACCTGTTGTGCATCTGTGTCTGACTGGAAAGTGATATACCAGTTGCTATTGTGTGCAAACTCACAGCTTATCACCTTGGGGCAGTTTTCATTTTTGAACAAAGCTTTCACTTCCTAAAAAAGAAAAATTTCAGTTAATTCTAAAAAACATATCAATAATAGGTATTTTTTTCTCCTCATGTTTTTTGGTCCTTTCTATTTCTTGTTGACTGTTTATGGCTTCTATCATTTTACCATTAAGAGCAGATTATATTCTGAAACAAAATCATGTATTGTTATAGCATAAATTCTGTATATGAGCCCTGGCCAGTTTGCTCAGTGGTTAGAGCGTCGGCCTGCGGTCTGGAGAGCCCAGGTTCGGTTCCTACTAAGGACACATACCTTGGTTGCACTTTGTCCCTGGTCCTGGTTGGGTCATGCGGGTGGCAACCACTCGATGTGCCCCTTTCACGTCGATGTGTGTGTGTGTGTGTGTGTCTCTCTCTCTCCCTCCCACTCTATCTAAACAAAATATGGAAAAATGTCCTCGGGTGAGGATAAAAAAAAAATTCTGTATATGATTTAGGCATGGAACTCTATTTTATGATAAAAGTTGAACTATTTCACTCCTAGTGGCAAGCTAAATATTCCTTACTGTAAAATCTTTCCAGTCCTACCACTATTAAGAAAAGAAAGAGTTCTGGCCGGTTTGGCTCAGTGGTTAAAGCGTCGGCCTGCGGTACAGAGAGACCCGGGTTCGGTTCCCGCTAAGGGCATGTACCTCGGTTGCAGTTTGTCCCCGACCCTGGTTGGTCGTGCGGGTGGCAGCCACTCGATGTGTCCCTTTCACATCGATGTTTCTCTCTCTCTCCCTCCTGCTCTATCTGAACAAAGAATGAAAAAGTGTCCTCGGGTGAGGATAAAAAAAAAAAAAAAGAAAGAAAAGGTACGTCTCCCTTAACATTTTCTAGGTGGCTAAATATTTTCATGTATTCTCATTTGATCCAGATGCTTTGTCTGCATCAAAGTCATTCAAAGGTATAAAATCTGTGCAAATATATCTTCTCTTTTCCATAACTGATATAACTAAGAACTAAAACTCCAACAAATATATGGGTTTAGAAAAAGATGATTACCAAAATTCAGAAATGTGTAACAGTTAACAGCTTGAAAGAAGTTTATAAAAAGAAAAAAGAAAAAAACTGGTAGTGAACCTTAAGTATCCTTAAAATATTATAGAAGGAAACGATATCTGCTGAGACACCATTCAGAGTAAGACACTGTGGTTTATTCCTGGAAAACCCTGTACTGAAGAAATGGTAGCTCAGATTGTTTAACCTACTCACACTATCACAGAGTGGAACTCAACCCCAAATTTGTATACCTCCAAATTCCATTTAGTCTAATACCTATTTGAGTTCAAGAAATTCAGTAGTAACCAATAATTCCAAAATATCAAAAGAATGTGATTTGATTAGACTGTCCCACAAAATATCACTAGGTATCAATTTTAAAAAAGACAATTACTAAGCTGACTGGACAGTCAACATAACAACACTGAAGTAAATTTAACCTGTATTCTAACTCCCTCTTGTTTAATGAACTGAATTTTAAAAAAGAGATGGTCTTTTATTTTTTTTTAATCCTCACCTGAGGATATTTTTCCATCTATCCTCAGAGAGAGTGAGAGGGAGGGAGAGAAACATCAATGCCAGAGAGACACTAACTGCCTCCCACAGAACCCCTACCAGGGCCGGGACAAACTGTAACTGAAGTATTACATGCCCTTGACTGGAATAGAATGCACGACCCATTGGTCTGCTGGCTGTCACTCTAACTGCTGAGCCAAACCAGCTAGGGCAAAAAAAGAGACGGTCTTTACTTGGGATGGCATTTTCTTGAATCAACTACTACTTGAAATAAATAAATCGAAAACCAGCTGAGTTTTATGACATTTGTAAAAGTAGTGAAATATCACCAAATTCAGTTAATAAAATTCCTATCCAGTCCAGAATTACATTTTTGGAGAACCATCTGTGCAACTGTTAGACTCTCTGCCACCCACTAATCTCTACCTTCAAAAATCGAGAGATATTCTCCAAATATTTAATTTCTTTAAAATGTATAAAAATAGCCCTGGCCGATTTGACTCAGCGGTTAGAGCATTGGCCCACGGACCGGAGTCTCTGGGTTCATTTCCCTCTAAGGGCCCGGACCTCGGTTGCAGTTTGTTCCCGGCCCCGGTTGGGGTCCTCTGGGTGGCAGCCAGTTGATGTGTGTCTCTCACATCGATGTTTCTCTCTTCCTCCCTCTCTCCCTCCTGTTCTATCTGAAGATAAAAAAAAAAGGCCTCAGATGAGGATAAAAAAAAATGTATAAAAATAATTTATTGAAAACGTAATAAAATCCCTATTTTCAGCCTTTATCATTCTTTAGGAAGAGTTCTGTTAACAGATTTATTTTCCCAAATATAAGAAGAGAAATCTGGCCCAGCCAGTGTGGCTCAGTGGTTGAGCATCGACCCATGCACCAAGAGGTTGCTGGTTCGATTCCTGGTCAGGTCACATGCCCAGGTTGTGGGCCCAATCCCCTGTGAGGAGCATGCAGGAGGCAGACAATTAATGTTCTCTCTCATCGATGTTTCTATCTCTCTGTCCCTCTCTCTCTCTCTCAAATCAATAAAGAAAAAACATTAAAAAAAGAAGTCTGGATCTAAAGTAATCAAAAATTTATTCCACCTGAGAGGAACCTTGAAGGTCAGAACCCAAATCTCCTCATTTTAATCTGAATTTGTTATTAGGGCCTAGGTTGACTTTCTCTGGCTATTTTAGTCTTCTGTACTTGCTTTACTTAAAAAAAAAAAAAAAAAATAGACAGTATGTTGCTGTCTTATTCCTTTTATTTCCTGTTTTTCATGTGTGTGTACTCTGTGAACTTAGACAATGAATTACACCAAGAATAAAAATGATAATGGCTAGTTTTCAAGTGTTTTTATATGCTTGCTACTGTTCTAAGCTCTTTATGTATTAACTCACTTAATTCTCATAATTTTACAAGTTACCTGTTACTATTATTCCATTTATCAGATGAAAACAAAAGAGATTAAGTAATTTATCCAAGGTCACAGAACTAGCAAGAAAAAAGGCTAGAATTAAAATTGAGGCAGTCCAGCCCTGGCCGGTTTGGCTCAGCGGTTGGAGCGTCGGCCTGTGGTACAGAGAGACCCGGGTTCGGTTCCCGCTAGGGGCACATACCTCGGTTGCAGTTTGTCCCCAGCCCTGGTTGGTCGTGAGGGTGGCAGCCACTCGATGTGTCCGTTCACATCGATGTTTCTCTCTCTCTCTTCCTCTTTCTCCCTCCCGCTCTATCTGAACAAAAAATGGAAAAATGTCCTCGGGTGAGGATTAAAAAAAAATTGAGGCAGTCTGGCTCTAGAGTTCAGGCTTGTATATGTGCTACATTGTTTCTTAATGTTGTAAATATTCTTCCTATTTAACAATCTTCCTTTCAATTCGTTACATTTGACATACAGTTCATAATTTTATCATTTTTTTGGAATCCTAACCCAAGGATATTTTTCCATTTATCATCAGATAGAGTAGGAGGGAAAGGGAGGGAGAGAGAGAGAGAGAAAAAGAGAGTGGGAGAAAGAGAAACATCAATGTGAGAGAGGTACATCGGTTGGCTGCCTCCTGCACAACCCAACCAGGGCCGGGGACTAACTGCAACCAAGGTACATGCCCTTGACCAGAAGAAACGAACCTGCGACTCATTGGTCTACAGGCCAACACTCTAACTGCTGAGTCAAACCAGCCAGGGCTAGTTCATAATTTTAAATCGAAGATCTAGTGACAATTTCTGTTCTAATTTCTCCCACTGGATTCTGGATATATAACACTAAATGACTCTGGACGAAAAGATTAACAAATTTCTTAGATGGCAAGAGCCTTTCTTTTTTAAAATGGTTAATCAATTACCATATATCATCAATTAATGATTAATTCTCCCCTTCTCTAATTTATTTTGCCTTAATATGACAACTAGTGTGAAGCTCTGTGGCTTAGTGGTTAAGACACCTGAGCTTCAAAATCAGAGAGATCAAGTTTAAATCCTGACTGTCATTTAAACAGCCCACGTGTCCTTAGTTAACTTATTTAACCATCCTAAGGTTCAATTAACAAATAATAAAATCTTAGGCTTTAAATAACTAAAGACTATTGCACAATACTTGGTAGAACCTATCAAAAAACTATTATTATATATACATTATTATATAAAACTGTTATTATATATACATTATTATATAAAAGAACCTATTTCTGGATTGTATTGCTTCATTCAAATATTGTTTTATTTTTGTACCTGTACCATACCATCTTTATAACTGCAGCTTTATTTTATATTTTGCTAACCAGAAGGGTTAGTCTTGACCCATTAATTCTTATTCATATTTTTCCTCTTCATTTATCTTTCAGATGAATCCTCAAGTTCCCCAAAGAGCCTATTTATATTTAATTTTTTTTCCTTATTGATTTTAGAGAGATAGGAAGGGAGAAGGAGAGAGAGAGAGAAATATTGATGAGAAAGAACATCAACTGGTCGCCTCCTGCATGCCCCCCCAATGGGGATTTGGCCCACAACCTGGGTATGTGCCCTGACCAGGAACTGAACCAGTGACCTACACCGGCTGAGCGAGCCTATTTATATTTTAAATGCCATTCAGTCAAATCAATAAACTGAAAGTAGTCTCACTGCAATGCTCAGTCTCCCTTCTAAGAACATAGAATTGTATCTTCTTCCTCCCTCTATACCATTCTTCAAAAATTTCAAAATTTACAAAACAAATTAGTATTTATCCTTTTTATAGTAACTGATATGAGGGCACTGACACACTTTGCTTGTTTATTTAGCTCCTCCAATTTAAAAAGCAAAGAATACTTAGCTTTAATAATGCTTAATAATTTACCTCTATTGGTGTTGTTTCAGGAATCTCTCTAAGAATCACAATACAACGTTTATGACTTGGTCTCACTTTCTCACCCTTCTCATCAACTTGTACCATAGGAGAAGCTGAAATTTTAAGAAAGGTTTCATTCAAAAGTGACAAGTACAGATAGTAATGCTATTAATATTTTTATTTTTATTTCCAACTGAATAAATTACCAGAGGTTAATATCCTAAATACATTAAGTTGTAGAATCAAAGATTAGTTACAATAAAATATTTTGAAATTATACAAAGAATGCTATCAAATGTTATTCTTTGAACAAATTCAGAGTATCTACCTGTAATTTGCCACTGTGTTGGGGTTGGGAAAAAAAGCCTTCAGGGGGCATATAACACATATATCTAGTAAGGCAATCTCCCCATGTATAATTACCAAGTTCTTTATTTCAAGAGATGACAAAAATCAGTGTGCTTGGATTAGCCAAACCCTGCTCTGGGGAATGTAATATGTTCTAATATGTGAAGAAATTCTTCTTAAAATTACAGTCTAAGAAGTGCTTAAACCATGAATTATACACAAATGATTATAATGTTTCCTTGATTTTAACATAATTATTTATATACTACTACAGAGACCCAGAAGCCATCTTTTAGATTATGATATTAAGGAAATATTGAATGAAGTAGAACCAGAGCCAAAAGTTTTATTTCTAATCCCATCAGAAAGATAATATGCCACATCTCCCTTTGTAGGTAGGTAGAAAATAAAAGAAGCAGTTAAGAAAAATGGCTTGGGTATTAGTGCTAGGTTTTAGCCCTTAGATACAGGGAATTCTACCGGTCTCTTAGCCAATTTATTTTATGTTGACAAGACTGGATCATTTTAAGAAATGATGTCTGCACAAACCAGTCAGAAATTATTTCACAAATGTTTTTAGCCTTCTGAGAATGAAAATCCTCTACTATTCCCATATAGTAAATCTATTATTGGACTTGCTATATTTAACTTTTAAACATTCCCAACAACATATTTCATATAAAAATTAAGATCTGCCTTTATTCTGTCAAGTAGTTAGCAAAAACCATGAGAGGTTACCAAGAAATAATGATGTAGGATACAAACATCACTAAAAATTCTCAGAATCTCAACCTAAAAATATAAATTCCTTACCAAATTTTAGAGCAGTATCTGTCTAACTGTAGGTTACAACTCTTGAATCAATTTAGAATAACGTTGCAAGCATTTAGTATTAATTTGTGTAGCATTTGAGTTGTGTGTGTATGTGGTGTATATATTGGACTGTGATATAAAATGTACTTCTACTTGGGTTCAAAAGTTCAAAACAGATTGTTAGGGGATGTGAAAATGACATAAAACTTTTTAATGGCTCACAAAACAGACTTAATTGCTTATGTGTGTAATTGGATATTATATGAACAACGTAGGTATAGAACTGACACAGAAGATATATATCAGTCAGTAAAGATAGATTACTGAAATAGAGTAGTAAAAAATAGGGAATTAAAACCATTCCCCGCATAATCAGAAATCAAAAGAACATTTAATTTTTCGACTTAAAAAAATAAACTAAAAGATATGATTTACATACATCTCAATACTTCAAGAATTAGATCAGGGTCTGTGGTTAGCTTTTTTATTTCTTCCATGTTGGCAACTGTCCAAATTGGGATGAACTGATCACTGTCCATTTGAGATATTAGGTAAAGATCCTTTGACAAATTTTCTCTGAAAATAAATAATAAACAGAAGCAACAGTCCTATAAAACAGTTTCTTAATAGCTATTAAAGAAAGGGGTGCCTTATTCACTTTTGTCACTAAGTCTATGAAAACGAAATTATGCTATCAGAAATAACACAATTATGAAAATATATAACAGATATGCTCTAACAACTTCCAGAAAGATTCTGAATCCCCAAATACACTGGGCCCAACAGGTTTTTTTCCCCTTTTTTAAAAATCCTTACCCGAGGATATTTTTCCATTTATCTTCAGATAGAGTGGAAGGGAAGAGAAAGGGAGAGAGAGAAACATCGATGTGAGAGAGACACATCAACTGGCTGCCTCCCGCACGACCAGGGCCAGGGACGAACCGCAACCAAAGTACGTGCCCTTGGCTGGAATCCAACTCACTGGTCCACAGTCCAACACTCTACTACTGAGCCAAACTGGCTAGGGCTTGTTTTCCTTTTTCCTTTTAGTGAATTTATCAGATTGACATTGGTTAATAAAATTATATAGGTTTCAGGTGTACAATTCTATAACACATGATTTGTACATTGTATTGTGAGTTCACCATCCCGAGTCAAGTCTCCTTCTATTACCACTGATCCCTTATATCCTCTTCTACCTTCCCTTTCTCTCTGGCAATCATCATACTATTGTCTGTGTCCATGAGTATTTTGTTTTGTTTTTCTGCTTAATACCTTTACCTTGTGGGCCCAATTGTTTTTTGTTTTGTTTTGTTTTTAAATGACATATAGACTTTTATTGCAAAAACAAAGTGTTGCCAAATAATAAAATAGTCATAGCTCTACATTATACAAGCAAGCAAGCAAGCTCAGTCTACTCTCTACTCACTCTCCACAGACTTGATTTCACATACATGATTTCATAACTAGCGAACCTCTACCTTATTTTGTTTCTGAGTTTTTGGACTGGTACCTGATGGCTTTGTGGCCTCAAAGGCCACGCATGGGCCACAGTACACTGGGTTGTACACCAACTGGCCCGTGCAGCAGCAGCATCCAGTATTTCTTCCTCCTGAGGCAAAGGAGGTCACTGTCCCTAGACTCTTTATTAGTAATTGCCCTGCATTTTGTCCTTGATTGGAAGTGTCTTGGTGTTCTGTAGCACAGCTAGTCCATTGCAGGCATTTGCTAGAAGAAAGTCTCCACTCAAGACAGCTATTTTTTTCCAAAATGCATGTCTTTCAGTAGCCAATCAGAAGATTGCAATTCATTTAAATTTACTATTCCACGATGTACAAGGAGAGCAGTGTGGATAAGTTCTGTGATCTCTGCCAAACTTCTTTGACATGAATAGATCCCACTAACCAGGTCATAGTTCTGACTTGAAGCATTCACTCTGCTGGGCCCAGCTGCTTTAGAAATAAGTAGTACCACCAAGCCCCTCAACTGGAGGTTATTACGGCTGTCTTGTATAAGCCCCCTTGGGCTCCAGCAGAGGGAGGGAAGACTGGACTGGAACTGTGTGGGGACACTCGGGATTTGGAGGGTGCTCAGAGCTTTGGCTGAGTTGCAGCCACGCAGGCTGGTGGCCATCTTACTCCTTCCCAGGGCTCTGGGGAGAGGTGGCAGCCCCTCCCTCGGAGATCTGGGCCCAATAGTTTTGAACAAGGCATTATATTAATAGGAAAAGAGGCTTAATATTAAATTTAAAAGTATGTTACAAAATATTATATATAGTATAGTTCCATCTTATAAACACTTTATCACTGATGTTTGAATATGCAATTTAAACCTTGAGATAGATCGTGCAGGATTAAGTTTCTGAATGGTTGCATTTTTAAATAAACAGGTTTGACTTTTAATTTGCTTTTAAATAATAAATTTAAAACATTTAAAAATTAAGACTAAAGAGTCTTTAGGATACAGCTAAGAAAAAGAAGATAAAAACACTACCTTACACATAAAATCTTATTTAGCAAACTGAAGTAAAATCAAATTCATATCTTATTCACATCAAATCTTTGAAGCAGTCTGGTTATAAATATCTAAAAGTGTATGCTTAAAACCCAACTTTAATGAACTCTCTATTTAAAACTGAAACCATCCAAGTACTCCTGATGTCCTTTCCCTTGCTTATACCGTTCTATTTTTTTCCACAGTGATTATCACCTAACACTTCTAAATTGCTTATTTATTACATTTACTGTTTTGCCCCACCCTTCCCTGGCTAGAATACAGATTCCGTGAAGGGTCTTTGTTGTTCAAAAATGTGTTTCAAAGCCTCAGTGCTTGGCAATGAGTAGGGTCAAAGGCCTTTAAATTCAAATTATATTAAAACAGAGTAGTAATTACTTTTTAAAGGTTACAATTGTCAACAGGTGGTTATTTGCTTTGGGAAGGAAAATGAAATACAGGGGAAATCATTAAAGGTTAAACTCAATTCAGCATCAAAGGAGTAACATACTAGTATCACCCTGATAAAAAAAAGTCTCTTAAAATTTACTGATTTTAGAGAGGGAGACATACATACACACACATGTGTGTGTGTGTGTAAAGAGAGAGTGTGAATGAGAGAGAGAGAGACAGAAACATCAATTTGTTGTTCCACTTTTTTATGCATTAATTGGTTGATTCTTGTATGTGCCCTGATGGGGGATATAGAATCTGTGACCTTGGCAACACTGTAACCAACTGACCTACCCGACTAGGGCTGAAATATTCTTTAAGAACTTGAAAATAAGACAACAATAAACATAATATTTGCATAACTGAAAAGTTGTAGCCTGAATTAACTCTGATTTTCAGCAGTCTATTCTTATAAAACATTGTGTCAAACCCTTAAAGAAACTATACCTCATGGAAGTTAGTCAACTTAATGAATATAATAACATCTAGGATTTGAAAATTGTGACTAATAACTGACATGTATCAATGGCCATTTTGCTGACCTACAAATGTCAATTGCCCAGCTAGTGTGAAATGTAACACAACGCTGAGCAGAATGTGGTAAATTATCACAAGCAAGAGCTTCCACTGCGCCTGGCCAGCGTGGTTCAGTGGTCGAGCATTGACCCATGCACCAAGAGGTCACTGGTTCGATTCCCGGTTGGGGCACATGCCCAGGTTGTGGGCTCTATCCCCAGTGAGGGGGCGTGTAGGAGGTGACTTACCGATGTTCTATCTTGTTGATGTTTCACTCTCTCTCTCTCTCGATTCAATAAAGAAAAATATTTAATTTAAAAAAAAAAGAGCTTTCACTGCAACAACTAAACAGGCTTGAAATAATTACGTTTTTGAAGATAAAAGAAGAGCTGTGGAAGCTATGAGGACAGAATGAAATTCCAGAAAAATGATCTTTCTTTCCTGAGGGCATTTGCAGATCCTGGACCAAAGGAAAACCAGCAGAACTTTCAGCAGTTGCAAAGGGCTGGCATTATGAAATGTAAACTAAAGGAGAAGCCCCCCAACACACAATTGTGTTTACTGAATTCTAAGGAAGGAGATGAAAGATTGGGAACCAGGTTGAAAAGATAAAACCTCTGTGGTCTTGTGGAAGTTCCAGGAGGAATAAAGAGGAACCTTGCATCAAACACAAGACAGGTTTCCTCCCTAAGACATTTGCCAGATTTTAAAGCTGTATGGGGTAAGACGCTAAAGAATTAATCTCAAACCTCTGAAAAAGAGAACTAAATCTCCCTTGGTGTTTCAGGACTGAAGTAACAGAAAACTGCCAACTTCTAAATCAAAAGCCTGAGAAGGCCATGTCTAATGAACAAACATAAATTAAAAGGTAAAGCAAGTCTAATTAAAATGGTTGCTCAGCACTGACCCGGCTTAATTCCTCACTGAATTGAAGCAATCATTCTGCTTCTGCCTACCAGAAGAAAGCTCAAATTTTTTGTAGAGGGGAAAAATTGTATCACTTGCAATTTCTAACTTCTTTTATATATAATATCCACCATATAATCAAAATTTATAAGACATGCAAAAAAGCAGAAAAATGATGACAGAATCAAGAGAAAAAACTCAGAATATTAGCGGACACACAAATGATCCAGTTAGTAGGCAAAGATTTAAAAATAACTATTACAAGTATGTCACAGAAAATGAAGTGTATCTGACTAGAGAAAAAGCCAGAAGGTTCTCGCTCTTATCCTACAGCCTGTACTAAACCATGAAGACAGAATAAAAGGGTGGGAAAGAAGAGGGAGATATTTAGGATAAGGAATAAATTAAACCTAAATTGAGAGTGTATTGTGTCCAAAGAAATTTAAAAAGTGTCAAAGTGTCTTCCCAAAAACAGCCTGAGGTGACCTCTGAAAACAATTCACTATTCACTTGATCCGGAAACCACCACAAAATCATGCAAATTGAGAGATTCAAATCTTCATGTTCGCTTTAAGAACATCATGAAAGTGCTCAGTCCATCAAAGGTATGCATATCCAAAAAGCCACCAAGTATCTGAAGGATGTCACTTGACAGAAGCAATGTGTGTCATTCTCTCATTACAATAGTGGAGTTGGTAGGCATGCCCAGGCCGAACAGTGGGGCTGGACACAGGGTCAGTGGCCCAAAAAGTGTACTGAATGTTTGTTACACATGCTTAAAAAGGCAGAGAGTAATGCTGAATTTAAGAGTTTAAATGTAGATACTCTGGTCATTGACTACATCTGGGTTAACAAAGCCCTCATAAGATGTGGCAAAGAACTTGCAGAGCTCAAGGGCCAATTATCCCATACATGAGCTCTACCTGCCACACTGAGATGATCCTTATTGAAAAAGAGCAGAGCCCTAGCTGGTTTGGCTCAGTGGTTAGAGCGTCAGCCTATGGACCAATGAGTTGCGGGTTCGATTCCAGTCAAGGGCATGAACCTCAGCTACAGTTTGTCCCTGGCCCTGGTTGGGGTCATATGGGTGGCAACCACTGGATGTGTCTGTCTCACATCGGTGTTTCTCTCTCTCTTCCTCCCTTTCTCCCGCATACTCTATCTGAAGATAAATGCAAAAATGTCCTCAGGTGAGGATTAAAAAAAAAAGTCAATGATATAAATCCAGATTTCTAGCTTGAAAAATTGGCTCACTGGTCCTACTTCTCACCAGATATAGGAAAAATAAAAGGCATTACTACTGCATGCATATCCAAACTTAATAATTTATTTTGGAAGGGGCAGTTCTATATATTGTAGTGTTAAAATGTCCAACCTGTAAATTTAACTTCAGAATTCATATCTGTAAATAAGACATCTTGAAATGTTTGCCTGAAAAAACTCATTATTTAATAGAAGACACTGGTAATATAAATTATATGCCATCCATCTACCTTGCTAAAATTAACTCTGATCAAAGAGCCACCTACTAAAAAATATAAATTAAGAAAGAACCACTTTTTTGAGAATCATAAACCTGATTGTGTTCACAGAAAAAGTATCCAAGAGAAATTCATTATCTTTATATTGAGAATAGAATATCTTTTGCATATTCAACTGAAGATTACATCTTTAAACCTAGTAAAGAAATACAGAATGATACTAGAATACATCACTAAAGGAAATTAAAACCACCACTTTTCCAGGTTACTTTACATCTACTAACCAAACAATTACCAAAAAAAAAAAAAAAAAGGAGAAATATCCACAAAAAATGATAGTGTACCGTGAGAAACAGAATTCTAATTGTTTTTTCAGACATTCTTTTAGGTCTTCTGTAGGAATTGCTGAATTGCTTTCTCCTGATGGTAAAAAAGAGGGAAAAAGTTAATACGAAATTACCACAGGTGGTAAACTTTATATATTGTTATACTCAGAATGAGTCACAAAGAATACACAAATTAAACTTATCAAGTGTTATTTTTTGTTAATCCTCACTCAAGGATGTTTTTTCCATTGATTTTTAGAAAAAGTGGAAGAGAGGGAAGGGGAGAGAGAAAAAAGAAACATCAATGTGAGAGAGATATACCAATTGGCTGCCTCCTGCACGTTTTTCCCAACTGGGGCCTGAGATAGAACCTGCAACTCAGGTATGTATCCTTGACTGGAAACAGAACCCAGGACCCTTAAGTGGGAAGTTCAATGCTCTAACCACTGAGCAACACCGGCCAGGACTCATTCTTTAATTTTAGAGCACCATTATCTTCCTAGGAATATTTAAAGCATTCAAATATCCAAAGAACATGATAGACTCTATAACAGTCTCCTATGCTTTCTATTATTTAAACCCAGAACATGAGACCTTTTTTCAGGACTCAAGCCTGGAAAACCATTACTCTCTTACATAAAACATTACAGACTCAAAGCATATAATTTGTCCTCTTCTCGTTTAAAAAAAGTTTTTTTAATTACATTTTTTTAAAATCCTCACCTGAGGACATTTTTGCATTTATCTTCAAATAGAGCAGGAGGAAAAGAAGGAAGAAGAGAGAGAAACATTGATGTGAGAGAGACACATCAAGTGGTTGCCACCCACACGACCTCAACCAGGGCCGGGGAAAAACTGCAACCAAGGTTTAAATACATTTTTTTGTTAATCCTTATCCAAGGATATTTTTCCATTGATTTTTAGATAGAGTGGAAGGGAGGGAAGGGGAGAGAGAGAAAAAAACATTGATGCAAGAGAGACATATCAGTTGGTTGCCTCCCACACAACCCCAACTGGAGCTGGGGAATCAAACTTGCAACCCAGGTACGTGCACTTGACCAGGAGGAGTCCAACCTGAGACCCCTCAGTCCAAGGGCTGACTCTCTAAGAGCCAAATAGGCTAGGGTTTTGTTTTGTTTTGTTTTGTTTTAAAAAGGCTTACCAGAGATATATTCAGAGAGAAGGAGGGAGGGAAAAGGGAGAGAGAGAGGGGTGGGAGAGAGAGAGAGGGAGAAGAGGGAGAGAGGGGAAGGGAGGAGGGAGGGAGAGAGAGAGGGGAAGGAAGGGAGAGATGGAGAGAGGGAGAGAAAGAGAAACATCAATGTGAGAGAGAAACACTGATTGGTTGCCTTTCATATGCTTCCTGACTGTAAAATCAAATCCAAAACCCAGGTATGTACCCTGACCAGGAATCAAACCTGCAACCCTTTGGTTTGTGGGCTGAAGCTCAAATCAGAGTCATGCGGGCCAGGATTTCTATACATGATTTTACCACTACCTTGTCTACTATTCAAGATTCAAAATGATATTAGATATTAAATTAACTTTATTAATATGAATATAAGAAGCACTCTATTTTTACATTCATACAAGTCTTTCCTATACAAAATTCATCTACCCAACTGCTAGCTAAATGAGCAATAGCTTCATTTAACCTTTCAGTGTAATTAGAGCAAACTTAAAATACCAACTGGTTGGTTGCCACATTACTTAAACCAACTCTATGTTCAAAGTAGCCAGTAGTTAGGTATATTACAACCCTAAGTAGAGAGCAGAACCTACCCTTAAATTATTATATGGAAATACCATCCTTTTCCACTTCAAATTCAACTTACAAGCCAACAGACTTTAGAAATCTAGTCCAAGTATTTGTAATAAATAAGAAAACTGAAGACAAAGGTTTATATACCTTGACTGAAGGCAGAGATAGAAAAGCCTACCCCTTCCCATTACACTTCTTTTTCTTTTCTTTTTATTCCTCATCCAAGGATATTTTTCTATTTATCTTCAGATAGAGTGGGAGGCAAGGAGAGAGAGGGAGAAAAACAACTGGCTGCCTCCCATACAACCTGACCAGGGCCAGGGATGAACTGCAACCAAGGTATGTGCCCTTGACCAGAATCAAACCCGTGACTCACTGGTCTGAGGGCCTACGCTCTAACCACTGAGTTTACCAGCCAGGGCTACACTTACTTTTCAAAGAGACCCTTCAAAAATTAGAAAAATTAGGTTAGATTCTGAAGGTCTATGGTCCATTTTTAGTTTGTTTTATATTTTATCCATTTTGAATCCAATCAAGTACTAACCCATGACAATTAAATAAATGTGGGGGGAAAAAACATGTTTCACAAGTTAAACTGTAATAGAATAATGTTTTGAATACAGCCTTTACCTCAAAATTAATCGCCACAACTTCACATTTATAAATACTTCACACTGCCAAAGTGATATAAAAATCTAAAGAACTTGCACTGATCCCAACTAATAGATCAAGAAACTGAGACCCTATGAAAAATTAGAATTAGATCTCTTTCAACTATTATGACTATTTTTTCCTTTTATTTTTAATTTTATACTTTTCTTTAATCCAAAATTTAAAGTAAATATTCCTCTTAAATTACAATTTTCATGTTTGGCCACTTAAAAACAGTATTTATACCAGGCCAGCGTGGCTCAATGGTTGAGCATCGACCCACGCACCAAGAGGTCTCGGGCTCAATTCCTAGTCAGGGTACATTCCCGGGTTGTGGGCCCAATCCCCATTGGGGGGCATGCATGAGGCAGCCAATCATTGTTTTCTCTCATCAGTGTTTCTCTCTCTCTCTCTCTCTCTCTCTCTCTCCCCCCCTTCCTCCCTCCCTAAAAATCAATAAAAAAACAATATTTATTACAATCACCTAACAACATTTCATCAACATAAACTTCTTTTCCAATAAGAAAATAAACTAATCAATGCCACAGGTTAATTAGAACAATGATAAAGAGACTTGATGGGGGATGGGGGGTGAGGGGTCAGGAGAATAGCATATTGAATTCACATTTGACCAAAAAAACCTAAAGCTTACCGGAAACGTCATATATTTGGTAACTCAGATCTTCTGGCCCTAAAATAATTCCATCAGTTGATTCTTCAATGCCTACAGAATTTCTTGTGGTTTCACAAGATGAATACATTACTTCATATTCCTTACACATATCATCTGACAGCTCTGTATTACCTGTATGAAAGAAAACATACTGAAATAAATCAAAATTCTTCAAATCCTGTCTTCAGGAACTCTGAGTCCTATGTCTTCTATAGCAAGATTTCAAGGAATTCTATCGGCTGGAAAAATGTCCACATGGTTTTAAGCAAGAATTTTCTTCCTAAAGGAGTTAAGTTTTGACAATTATGGATAAGGTAAAATAATTAAACTTATGTAGTACTATCTATGTATCAGACAGCTGAATAATTATTATTATTACTATTTTTATTATTATTGTTTGATATATAGATCAATGACACAAGCATGGAAAATTAAGTCATCTGTCCAAGGTCAAATAAATGCGTAAATAGCATTGCCAATGATGGTAGATCAAAACTAATTTATAAATACCATATTATAACCTGGTGCTGCTTGTGGGGGGCCCAAATCCTTCTGCTTGCGGCCCAAAAAATAAATAAGTAAATAAATAAATACCATATTATAAAATGGACTTAAAGGCTGGAACCCAAAGCTATAGCTATTATTTGAAATTAGTGACCAATTCATATTAGACATGAGAATTGTATACAAACTACATGTTAAACATTTATAAACATATTTAATCAAAGAATCAAAGGATGTACCCCAAAGTTCTATAAACTGGTTTTGGCCATATGTTTAAGCAAAATGTGATTTGTTCTGATGAAATATTTAGGACTCACCCTCAGGATGAGACCCTGATGTGGCTGCTGTTTCATGCCAAGAGCTTTCAGTTCCATGAGTTACTGGCGTGGCATCAGTATTTCCAGGAGGAATTTCTTGCCACACTTTGGCATTAGGGTTTAAACCAGTTCCTTTAGATGTTACCTGCTAAATAATCAAAGGACCTATTTGTAAATTTTAAGTCAGTGCATTAAAAATACAAATTTAGGTAAAAGACTCTTTCCATTACTTAAATGTGAAGAAAACCCCAATACTAAGTAATTTAATAAATAATTTAATAATATTTTTAAGTTTTTGGTTTAACTTGATAAATCTTTTTAAGCGGATGAACTTGAAATGTGTCTATATAAAATTTAGCTACCTTAATCAATTAGAAAACTATAAAATATTATTAATATAGAAACACTGCTTTACCTCAATCTACTTCCAAATGTCATAAAATTTATTCAAACTATTCACATATCTTTAACATTAGCATGTGTTTGTGCATCTAGAGCAAATTTTTTCATTATCTAGAGCTATTTTACAGGATATATCATTTTTATTGTCATTCAAGCTGAGACAGAGACCTTAAGTCTGATTCTATCAAAGGAAATTTTTTCCCTAGTCAAAAAAAGCAATCTGTCTTACATTAGAATGTGCTTTTCCAAATTTGACCTGAAAGTGCATATTCTTTTTATTTTTTTCCCTTTATTGGTTTTTAGAGAGAGAGGAAGGGAAAGGGAGAGAGAGATAGAAACATTGATGAAAGAGAACATCGATTGGCCGCCTCCTGCATGCCGCCCACTGGGGATTTGGCCCACAACCTGGGCAAGTGCCCTGACTGGGAATCGAACCAGCGACCTCTTGGTACATGGATCAATGCTCAACCATTGAGCCACACCAGACGGGCTGGAAGTGTATATTCTTAATGTTCACAACATAACTATGTAAAATTTCCATTGTTTGCATACATCATCAAATCACAGACATACATGGGGTTAAAAGTAGAAATGGATCATAGTATGGAGGGTGGGGGAGAAGAGCATTCAAAAAATGGAGAGAGAAGAAAGCAGGATACACAAATATATAGTTCTTTCACCTCACTCAACCAAACAACTGGGTTTGATCCTTCTCAAATACATTAATAATCCTTTCAAAAAGTACTTCTTTTCAGAAAGTTACTTTTAACTGTATTCTCAGCTACAGACCCCTCTCTTGGACAGCAAGCACCAGAAGGTGGATTCAAAGGGCAAAGTGCTTTCAAGCATATGACCTACATATACTTGAGATTCAGGTTTCATGAAAAATAACTGGCACACACTGAGCCATTTATCAGGACGTTGTTACAAATTTTGTCTAAACGGAGGGAGTTCTTACAACTGACACTGGCTCATGGGTTAAAAAACAAAACACGAAACAGCCATAAGTTATCAACAACACCCAAATATAGCCAAACCAAAGCAGGACTCTGAGTAGGCAGAAATTCAGAGCCCCCAGAATTGCTGAGAGGACTCCGTTTCTAGGACGCCTTACTATACTTCCTACAACTATGTCCCATGAAATCCCCTAGTAACCTTTTAATTTAATAAACCGAGTTTTTTTTACTTGAGTTTCCATAATATGCAACTATTATGACTAACATGACTTATATATATGAACCAATGAAACATTGTTTAATTACAATGTATAGCTTGCCACATATATTCTGACTGGGTATCAACTGATACTCAATTTGGGAAAAAGGAGAACCTCAGACACAACATCCTTATTCATGTCAAGGTTCATTCATATGTTGGAAATAAGGGCTGAGCCTAAAATGGTGGTGGTGGTGGAGGTATTTTATTGCTGACATGGTTTAGAATTGCCAGGTATAGGATAACAAGCATATGGCTTTTGGTCAATTTACTGTTTGAAAATTCTCTACAGACAATATACCCCTTTTCTGCCTTCACCACAGCAGTACCCTCCCACCACTTTGCCTTTGGAACTGAGCTGAATGAATGATTTGGGAATTTAGGTACAGCTTAATTTCTGACTGATGGCAGAAAAAAAGTATGAGAAATTTGTGAGAGATTAGCTTCCCTGACATGTAAACAGCATTTAATTTGATAATAAGCACTTTTGCTCTGGCCAATTTTGTTCAGTGGTTAGAGCATCGGCCTGCAGTCTGGAGAGAACCGGGTTTGGTTCCCGCTAAGGGCACGTACCTTGGTTGCAGTTTGTCCCCAGCCCTGGTTGGGCCATGTGGGTGGCGACCACTCGATGTGTCCCTTTCACATCGATGTTTCTCTCTCTCTCTCTCCCTCCCACTCTATCTGAACAAAATATCAAAAAAATGTCCTCGGGTGAGGATAAAAAAAAATATTTGATAATAAGCATTTAAAAAAAAAAAAACATTTTCCTTTATTGATTTGAGAGAGAGAGGAAGGGAGAGGGAGAGAGAGAAATATCGATGAAAGAGAACATTGATCGGCTGCCTCCTACATGCTCCCACTGGGGATTGGCCCCAAACCTGGGCATGTGCCCTGACCAGGAATTGAATCAGCAACCTCTTGGTGCATGGGAGCCACACTGGCCGGGCTTGATATTAAGCACTTTAATAGAAGGTCACCTATGTACTTACATACTTTATCCTCTTCCCTCATGTTCCTCAGTTTTGAGAATACCAGTTATGTCCCTACCCAAGAAAAGGGAAAATAATAAAGACTGCAGCTCTCAAAAAAACTTACAGAATTATTGTTCAGATCAGTATGTGGTTTTGGTAAAGCAAAATACAAATTATTATTTTAAGGCAGTTAATAATCATTATCAAAACATATAATGGTTGAGCCCTGGCCAGTTTGGCTCAGCGGTTAGAGCATCGGCCCGCAGACCAGAGTGTCCCAGGTTCGGTTCCCGCTAAGGGCACGTACCTTGGTTGCAGTTTGTCCCCAGCCTGGTTGGGGTCATGTGGGTGGCAACCAGTCGATGTGTCTCCCTCACATAGATGTTTCTCTCTCTCTTCCTCTCCCCCTCCAGATCTAGCTGAAGATAAATGAAAAAAAAAAAAAAGTTCTCGGGTGAGGATAAAAACAAAACATACAATGGTTGAAGCTCCAGAATCACACTTGAATTCAAAACCCAGTTCTAGCCCTGGTTGGTTTGGCTCAGCGTTAGAGCGTCGGCCCTTGGACCAATGAGTCCTAGGTTCAATTCTGGTCAAGGGCATGTACCTCGGATGTGGTTTGTCCCCGGCCCTGGTCAGGGTTGTGTGGAAGGCAACCAGTCGATGTGTTTCTCTCACGTTGATGTTTCTCTTTCCCCCTCCCACTCTATCTGAAGATATTTGAAAAAATATCCTTGGGTGAAGATTAAAAACAAAAACAAAACCCCAGTTCTGTAACAACTGCGTAAGCGTGGGAAATTTTCTTAACTCATCTGAGTGTCAATGTTCTCAGCTGTAAACTAAGATAAAATTCCTTATTTTAAGAACTAAATTGTATTAATACTTGAAAAGCAATTAACACTAAGTATAAACACCCCATATCTTTTTTTATAAAGCTTGTTGGTTTTGAATAGGAGGTGATTTGGCTGTACACTTTCAAAAGTCCACTACACAAACACTAATGCATTACATCACAATAGCAGGAGAGGAAGTTGCAAGTTAAATGTAAATGATCATGTCACAAAAAATTAGCTTTGAAGAAACTATCTGCAAATCACAACAGACAGATGGATGGCATTATAAAACTGCAACAGAACGTTAAAGATAAATACTAGGAAAATAAAATACCATTTTATACTTATTCAATTAGGAAAGCACTTAAAAATAATTCCCACATTGCCATAAAATTTACCAACTCATTCTTTACTGGAGATTGTATAAAACAGTGCAACTCATCCCCATGTATTGACATTATTTATAAGGGCCAAGAAATGAAATTAACCCAAAGTCAGACAACAAAAAAGGAAATTATGACATACCCACTGGTAAAAGGAGTAAGTACATAGCCATTCAAAATTAAAAAGATACATTACCAGTTTTTTATAAAATCTAAAGGGGCACTAACATATCACAAAGAAAAACCTGCCATTTATTAAATACACTATGACACACCAAATATTTTAGGATGTATCCCAATTTTCAGAGAAGTGACATACCCACTGGTAAAAGGAGTAAGTACATAGCCATTCAAAATTAAAAAGATACATTACCAGTTTTTTATAAAATCTAAAGGGGCACTAACATATCACAAAGAAAAACCTGCCATTTATTAAATACACTATGACACACCAAATATTTTAGGATGTATCCCAATTTTCAGAGAAGTTTCAATATGCAACAGACGTGCATCTTAAGGCTGATGAAATATGAAAAACATCACAATGGAAAATGCTTTCACACAGTGGAGGGAATAAAACCATAACCACAGTAACAAAAGCAAATTAAGCAATTCTGTGGGCTAGGCACTGAACCGAATGCTTTACACATATCTCACCACTTCTTAAAAACAATCCATAACAAAATACTAAAAAAAAAAAAAAAGCCCTGTCCCATTTTTCTCAGTGGTTTTTCTTAGTGGCTCTGGGATGGAAGGGTCTCACATTCAATTCCTGGTCAAAGGCACATACTTGTGTTGCAAGTTTGATCACCAGCCCCGGTCTGGGTCTTATGGGAGGCAACCAATCGATACAACTCTCTCACATTGATGTTTCTCTCTCTCTTCCTCCCTCCCTTCCACTCTATCTTAAAAAAAAAATCAATGGAAATATATCAAGAGCCCTGGCCAGTTTGGCTCAGAGGTTAGAGCATGGGCCTCTGGACTGGAAGTCCCAGTTCCCACTAAGGGCATGTACCTCAGTTGCAGTTTGCCCCCAGCCCTGGTTGGGGTCATGTGGGTGGCAACCACTGGCTGTGTTTCTCTCTTTCTCTTCCTCCCTCTCTCCCTGCCACTCTATCTGAAGACACAATCCATATGTACTATATCTCCCTTTAAGAGGTTATCCTATGTGAAATAATATATCCAAATAAAGACACAAAGAGATAAAGTATGAAGTTGATATTAGCAATACAATGATTACAACTCATATATTAATGCAACTGCAAAAAGTTTGTAATAAGGATATGGGCTGGAAGGGACCATTATATGCTACAATAAATAAATTAGGGATTTCTTACCCTTAAA